CATAAAAGTTTTGTAAAATAACTCTTTTTATGCTTTTCTACCTTAAATTAATCTAAACATTTAATGTTACAAATGTAAATTTAATTTATATTAATTCACACATACACACCGTCCATCTACTCTTGGTCCGGCCCCCGGGTCCAATATATGAACCCATTGCGGCCCTCGAGTCAAAAAGTTTGCCCACCCCTGGTCTAGAGAATGTCCAGAGGTTTATGTAATCACGCAATTATAAGCTGCCTCCTTCACATATCAGTTGGTTTCATTGTGATTTTAGCCAAAAACTTACCAGCAGAAAACAATACACTATATAGCTTTTTCTTCATTATCAGATAAAAGCTTTATTGACTAATGTCTCAACTGATAGAAAGGTACAGCTGAATAAACAGTAAATGGCATCTCAGATGGCCAACAGTTTGTAAGTTTCTCTCATCAGTTCAGTTTTTCTATAATGGACTTGCCTCCAGTTAACACGTAGATGGATTCACTCCATCTCAAACCATGCATTAACCAGGATTATTGAATAAACTACAGTTAGCTGGACTGCACAACATACTAAACCATTAGCCATTGTTTATCAACCACAAAGATTTGTACCAAACTCTAAACTAAAAGCCAATCAAACCACATCACAGTTTAGCAAAATGTGTGATTCCACCCAGTGTTATCAAACAATTATCCCATGTAACATTGATACATATATAAAAAGAGCAAAGCTTCAGTCACTCAGTTGTGACTGCCATCTTGATTTTGATCAGGACTCCCTGATGCTTCCAACCATGCCTTAGGTATCTCACTCCCCCTGTCCCAATTCTCTCTTCTTCTTCAGCAAACTTTCCTCCAGGAAATAATTTCCAACACAAACCCAGAGTTCTTACCACAGCAGGTTCTAAGATCAATTCCTCTTCATGGGGTACAAAATGATTATCAGAAGGTAAGACCACCAGCAGCTGACTGATGGGAGTTGGCGTGGTCTCCTAAATAATAAAAGAGCTTGCTTCACAGGCTCATAAAAGTTGCATACAGTAGTCAGACGCAAAAGGGAGGGAATTCTGTTCTACTGGCCCAAAAAGTGAGGCATGTTCTCTAATATATGAGAAACAAAAGTTACAACAAAGCACTGTCTGTCAGAGTCCAGGGTTCATCTAAGGCTTAGCCATGGTTTCCATTATAGAACAATAAAAACTTTTGATTTTTTTTAATCTAGCAACATTTGGTTGCTTATTTTGATGATATAAATCATATCAAAATCACTCTAATCTATACAGTTTATATCCCATCCCTCCTGAATATGAGATTTAGTGACAATGTGCATAAACCATGCTGTTTATATTCATTATAATGGCTTGCAATTTGGGGTTTTGCAGGATAGAGACTGATTTTTCCAAATATGTACTACTGTATTTTATTGAAACAGTAAATAAAAACTCATGCTGCTTATTGTGAGGCCAAGGAAAAAAACTTCAGGTTCACTTTCCCCACTTCGGTGTCCTTCATATGCACCTGGCTGCATCTCCCATCATCCCCAATTAGAACTACAGGGAGAAGGGAAAGGCAACTGAGTCAGGATGATACCTGGAATGCTCTTAAAGCTGGCAGCAATACGGGGGCCTGGAAGGCCCAGTCATCCACAAGGCTTAGGTCCAAAAGCACTGTCAGCCCAAGAATCTTTAGCTCTTGCCTGGAACATAGGTGAAAAAAGCAAGACATGTAGAGTTGCCTACTTTTCAGCATCAGGTTTGCCAGCTTAGCTTAACATACACTCATCAAAGAAGCCAAATCATAGGAAAATTGGGCAGAATGGTTTCTTTGTGTTAGCCTCATAACAATTCCACATTTGGCCCTAACTGTACCATTCTAGAAAGACCCACACATTTCTTAATGTTGCTTAATGTTTTAAGCGGCTATTTTAGTTCTAATCACATACTGATAAAGAGAGCACAATTTGTATACCCACTCCTCATTTAGCGACCAAGTACCGTCCCAACTATCAGGTCATCAAAAAAATTGGCTGCTAAGCAAACATATAACAAGAGAGAGAGAGATTGAAAGAGAGATACTGTGAAGATCACTGCTTGCTGCCCTCTTATTCAAGCATAATTATCTTATACAGCTATGGTAGCATTATTCTCACTCGGTAATGTTTTATACCAGGTGCCTAAAATTTGATCATAAATGCATGCATTGATCAGAAAATGAATTTTTATTACCATTCATTACCACTGTATTTGTAAATGGCCACTAACTGAGGTAGTCACTAAATAACAGAGTGTGTATAATTATCAAACCTATTACAAAGTGCAAAATCAACAATTGGATATAGAATTATAATAAGGGTGATAATAAATGTAACAAATATGGGGTAAATCATATTGAATCAGAATTTTCAATCCAATAACAAATATGGTAGCCAGTGTACTCTCTAAAATGTACAATAATCTTGAATATTATTGAGTATTGACTATATAATCTTGAGTATTACTAGAACTGTACCGTGGATAGTAATAACTCTATTTATTTGAAAAATTTATATGACTGCCTACTATAATCTGCTAAGAAATACATAATAAAAACACAAAATTAAAACTCCAGTTTAATTTAATTAATTAAAAATAGTGGAGCAACCTATGCAGAGGGAGAAGATTTAGCTCATTTCCATAACTGCTATATTCTACTAGCTTATGAAAATCCTCTTCCGAACAAGAAAACTCAAAGGCATTTTTAGTATTTGGGGTCAAAACAACCATCCTTTGCAATCCAAATGCTTTTAAGCTAATTGGATTCTTAATGGCTTCCCATGGCAGCTTCCTGAGAGTTCTGATTTTATGAGAAGAATTTCCTGAATTCTTCACCTGTCTCAATGAATTACTTCAGTCTTTTGGAAGGGAGCCTTGATTGCTTCATCTGAAGGCATTCTGATATATAGTACAACTATTGCATCAGTTAGGCTGACCTAGTGGATTTTTAGCTGGACTTTGGCGAGGCACTTTCTTTCTTTCTTTCTTTCTTTCTTTCTTTCTTTCTTTCTTTCTTTATTTATTTATTTATTTATTTATTTATTTATTTATTATTTAAATTTATATACTGCCCTATCTCCCTTACGGGACTCAGGGCGGTGAACAGGCAATAATAAAAATCACAGAAAATATTACATAAAAGCCTGCTCTAAAATATAAAACCCCTAACAAAACCTAATCAAAACTACGCCAGGCCGGCCGCATGGAACAGATGAGTTTTCAGGGCTCAGCGGAAGAGGCGCAGGTCCGCAATTGTACGTAGGTCGGGGGGCAGGTCATTCCAGAGGGCAGGAGCTGCCACAGAGAAAGCTCTCCCCCTGGGGGTCGCCAGCCGGCATTGGCTGGCCGACGGTACCCTAAGGAGGCCCTCTCTGTGGGAGCGGACTGGTCGAAGGGAGATATTTGGTAGGAGGCGGTCTTGCAAATACCTAGGTCCATTGCCATGGAGCGCTTTAAAAGTTGTTACTAACACCTTGAAGCGCACCCGGAAGGCCACCGGCAGCCAGT